GCAGGAAGGTTTCTTTGATTCAGTCAAGAAAACATATGATCTGGAAAAAAACTAATTAAAAACTAAGAGGCAAATAAACTGTCTTGCCTGGGAAGTTTCAGCCTGGCAAGATGGGGCAGCCTTTTACCTCTTGCCCTGCTGCAAGCAGCAAGGGTCAGTGAATGGAAGGGGTTCCCATGGTTTAAAGTGCTACCAGATGCTAAGCTGAACCAAGAAAGGAAAAATCTAAGTTTTCAGGGAGGGGTAAAGAGTCATTGAGGCAGCGTGGTTGTCCAGATAGGAAGGACAGCACAGAGGTGGGGTTGTGAAGTGCAGCTTTACCAAGCATCATGGGCAAACACTAGTGCAGAGGATATCCTGCCCCAGAGACAGAGTCTGGGATGTACAAGAAAGATTTAACATCTGCATCCATCTTCTTGGAGGTGATTCCTAGGAGGCACAGCCTCCCAGTGGATGAAGAAAACCTCCTGCACTATTTATCAGTATTATTTTGAAGTTATCTGAATGAAGGACATCTTTCTGCTTCAGAGTTCAGGCCAGAGGCATAGTGGTGGAGAAGAAAAAAACCATCCCACTTGTGCAGGTCATACCCTGATTAACCCAATGGCAGCTAGACTGTGCCCTGTGGAAGATGGGGGGCAAGTCCAGGAATACTTTAGGGCTGGTTTTGCACCAGCAAGGGAGGAAGGGTACCCCTTTTCACAAACCTCAGTGTGATGCATGATGATGGGGATGCCAACCATGGCAACAGGTCAGATTCCCTGATGATTTGTTTCCCTGTTTTGTTTCTTTAATTAATCTCAAAGAGAGAGCATCCAAGCCAGCTGCACCCTCAGCCTGTGGTGGGATCATTTATCTCAGCCCCCACAGGGCTCCTGTGAGCACTGGAAAGGCCAGGCTGGGGGGAGCTGCTGCAGCCTGTCAGCTGGCAGGCTCTGCCTCCTGCCCTGAGCCAGCACCCACGAGCAGGGCCTGGGGCACGTCCTGGGGAGATGAGCCTCCACTCCTGCTGCCAAGCTCTGCTCCCCACAGAGCCAGCGCAGGCAGCAGATGGGCTGGGCTCTCCCTGCCAGCGCAGGCAAGGGGGCTGGAAGGTAGGAGGTAGAACCAAATCCAGTCTCATTAAGGGTAATTACCATTCATCCCAGGAAGCAGTAGGAAAAAGAGCCCACGTTCTCCCCATCTATTAATAGCCCTCAGCAGCTGCATGGTTCCTGCTGCGACCCAGGGAGAGCAGAAAGCTTTGGGAGAGCAGCAGCCCAGGGAGCATCCTGCTCCCCATCCTTCAGCACTGGCTGTACAGGGGCAATTTTCCTCCTTCCAGGATGTCATTTGTTTTGCTGCTTCCCCCAGGACTCCAGGAACTGCTGGCTGCTTGTAAACAGTGTTTTCCAGCAAGAGCTGCAGGGAGCCAGCCAGAGGAGGGCCTGGAAATAGAGCTTTGGAGCCAGTCCCTGCTCCTCAGCATCCTCAATTTTCTGAGTCCTGCCCAGTTTTGGCAACTTTCTGTGCTCCTCGCTGAAAGGATAGAAGCCATTAATGAAAGAAGACTCCAGTGCTGAGGACAAACCTCACTGGCTCCTGCCCTAGTGAGTCCCTTTGGTGTCAGGCAGACATCAAACACCAACAGGCTCCTCTCAAACCTGACCTTCAGCTGTGCCCACGGTTCTTCCCCACAGAGAGATGAACCACATCTGACAGATGGAAGTTGCCTCGCTGCAGGCATCACCTAGAGAGGCTGCCCCACATGGAGCACAGCACTCACATGAAATGATATCCTGGACTAGTGTGGTGACTTCTGGCCATCATGGTGTGATGTGAGGACACTGCAGGCTGCAGGAGATGCACTAGCAGGGCTGACCAGGAGGACACATGCAGAGAGAGAGGGTTTTTTTCATTCCTTCTACCTCCAGCTGCCACTGTAAATAAACAGCCTGCTACTCGCTGTGGGCAGAAAGCTCACCAGATGTGCTCCTGCAGTCCCTGAAGAGACAGCTGCTGCTGGTGTAACAGGAGAGAAGGAAAGAGAGAGGAAGATGGAGAGGTGGAGCAGAAATGCTTGGCTGCAGGATGTGTTGGTGGCTGGGCAAAGCCAGGGAGGATAATGTTTCTAGTCCATCATGCTGGGACACTAAAAAAGGTTGTCACCCTACAGCCACAGCTTTGTTTCCAGAACAGCACCTGAATCTTCACATTAGCAGCAGAAGATGCCCTGTGGGACGTGTTCCTCCCACACAAGGCACTGCAGGACCTGGCTCCTGTCCAATTTATTTGTTGTGATTTGAGGTTTGACTGTTGTTACACTGTCCTCCAACTCCAGGCAAAGCTGGCAGAGCTGATAATGCACAACACCATCACAGGTGCTGTCTAGGGGAAATCTGAGAGCTGGCAGCTGGAGGGATACAGAGGGCACCTGGGGTCTGCTGGTAGGACAGTGCCTTAGTCACTGGGGCTAGGAAGCAGCACCTTCCCTCATCCTCGCTCTCAGCTGTCAACAGTGGGGATGGGAATGGGAATGGATGCAATGTTTTACCTTGCATCCCTACTCCACAGCATTTAAGGAGCAACTGCCACTGCACACCCCACTGGGAACAACACTAATGTCTACATTTCCCACTGGAAATAAATGCTAAGGTAGAGAAAGAGTTAACACAGCTATTTTTGGACTATCACTACTTCTTTTCAGCATATGATTCAACACCTGATTGCATCCATTTTGACAACTGACTGCAATATTGGGCACTGGTGTCTCTGGGAATCAGTGACTGGGTAGACACAGCTGAGCTCCTTTGGACTGTGAAGTCTCCAAAACGTGACATTTCCATTATATTGTCCATGAGGTGGGCTAAAAACCTCAGTGTTGATGCTTGCTGAAGGCTCAGCTCAGAAACTGATCACTGTTGTGCAGGTAATTCAGGGGTGCTATTTCTGTGGATCTGATTTGGCTATCTCCTTTGCAATTCAGGAGTCTGACTGAATGTGTGCATGGAAATCAGTGCAAGAGAAAATGTCCCTGGCTTTATGTTGCTCTCATTTCTGCTTTTCAAGGTCTCAAAAGCCCTGGAGATGTGTTCCCAGGAGTAACATGGTCAGTGTGAGGCCAGCGTTTGTGAAGGGCTTTGCAAGCCTTCTGACCACCCCACTGTGCTAAACACCAGCTTGACTCACAGGCAGTGACACTGACTTCTGGGGAGCTGAGTGACAGAATCAGGCCACACCTAGAAAAAGAAGTACATTGCAGCCAAGGTCTAACTTTCCATCTTTGAAATTCACAAAGGAAGCCTCAGAGTCTTGATCCATTTTTTTAATCCATGCCTCTTTGCATTTATTGTTTTGTTGCTGAGCCTTTGGGGTGATCTGGGATCATGCTTTTAACATCTTCTTCATGACCAGGAGGGAAATTTTATATGAAAGTCAGCACAGCTTCCTAAAACTGCCAGCTATTATGGGACTTGCAGGACTGTCATGAGAGCTGGCACCAGTGTTATGTATGCTCCCACAGGGCACAGGCTGGCTGCACTCCTCTTGTGCCCGCTACATCAGCATTCCAAAGGAGTGAAAGAAAAACCTGTCTCAGGCTGGAAATACCCTGGCAAATACTGCAATGCTTAGATCTGAGAAATGGGAAAGAGGAGATGCATGTTTTCAACCCCTTGTTTACTCTTTATATTCCACAGCATGATGTTTGTCTTGATGAGGATTCTGGTCTTTCCCCACATCTATAGAGGATGCTTAACAGAATGAAAAATGAACAGGTCGAGGAGAAGAGACAAACATGGAGCAGATGGACCAAGATCTTCTTGCCATCAGTGGAGTTCTCAAATTTGCTTTCCTCCCCCTCAGACCTGCCTGTGATGTCATCTGCCCCAAAATATGAGGCCCTGAAGCAAGCCCATTTCAGGCACAGACAGCGTACATTTAGCCATACAAACTTTCAAGGAAACGGGTATCTTGAGGATAGCAATGTATTCATCCTTTGAATACTGACTGGTACTGAACCATTCACATTGCACACCTTGCCCCATTCTTTCCATAATGCCACAGCAGCTGCTGCTGCTGCAGGAGTGTCCGGGACTTCGCCAAATGCTCCCTCCCCATCCAGTCCTCGTGGAGCATGGTGATGAGCTCACACATCTCCTGTGTGCTGCAAGAGGGGGCTCCTACTCCCCACGGCACTAATTTTTAGCAGCTGCACGGGGCGGGGTGACGGGAGAGCCCATCCCAAATCCCGTCCCTCTGCCTTCCTGCT